CCCAGCACTGGCCTTTGTGGCCATCTGGAGAGTGAACCAGAAGATGGAAGATCTCTGTTTCTCTGATTTTCAAATACATAAATAAATTTTAAAAAAAATCAGCCTTAGGGCCAGCATTTGTGGTGTAGCCTGTTGACACCACCTGTGACACCAGCATCTGTCATTTGTGTCCAGGCTGCTTCATTTCCGATCCAGCTCCCTGCTAACACACCTGGGAAAGCAGCGGAAGATGGCCCAAGTGCTTGGGCACCTGAAGTCACATAGAAGACCAGGAAGATGATCCAGTCTCCTAGCTTCCATCTGGTCTAGCTCCTGCCATTGCAGTCATTTGGGGAGTTAACCAACAGGTGGAAGTTCATGCACACGCTCGCTCTCTCTCTTTCTGTAACTCTGCTTTTCAAATAAATAAATCTTTAAAAAAATATAAAGAAATCAGCCTTAACTCATCATTCAACTTCTGACCATCTCAGTTCAAGCTTTTCCCAGTCTGTACAGGTAAAACTTATCATGATCCATGCCCTTGAAAATACATTATCAAAATAGATCATGGCAAGGTGAATCACATATATCCTTTTTTTTTAAGATTTATTTTATTTTTAAAGATTTATTTATTTATTTGAAAGTCAGAGTTACACAGAGAGAGGAGAGGCAGAGAGAGAGAGAGAGAGAGAGGTCTTCTATCCACTGGTTCACTTCCCAATTGGCCGCAACGGTTGCAGCTGAGCTGATCCAAAGCCAGGAGCCAGGAGCTTCTTTTCGGGTCTCCGACACGGGTGCAAGGGCCCATTGACTTGGGCCATCTTCTATTGCTTTCCCAGGCCATAGCAGAGAGCTGGATTGGAAGTGGAACAGCCAGGACTTGAACTGGTGCCCATATGGGATGCCAGCAGTGCAGGCGGCAGCTTTACCCGCTATGCCACAGTGCCGGCCCCCACATATATCCTTAACGAAGACTGCAAGACTGCATACCAAACCATACCAAAATCAAATCCCAGAAAGGATCAAATAGCAGAGCCATAATGCTATCACACTTAAAAAAAATCACAAAAGTTTAGTCCAAGTGCTATAAAATGGATACAAATACACTTTTATCATACAAGAGACAATCTGCCATTAACTTTACCAGAGCAGATAAAACACATAACTGATATGTTTCACATCGAATTCTCAAGTTATATACAATAACCAACAATTGCTTTGCTTAATTTCTCAGAATACAGACTTTTCTTTTGGATTATTCAGAAAACTTTGGGAGTTTTATTGTTTTCCTTTTGATCCAATTAATTTCTTTGTACAAGCAGAGGCATTCAGCCCATAATTTTTTACCAGGCACCTATTTACTGTATTCCAGCTACTATCCATACATTAATCTTTGATTCTACCTCTGCAATTTAATATTTGAAATCCTGGGCAAGCCCTCATAAATTCTCTCTCCTCTGTGCTAAAATAAACCCAGAATCTCAAACTCAGAGGCCCAGTTTCTCCCTCTTTTAATATATTCTGTACCTACCCTACAAAACAGAACTAAACAAGAGTAGCTTTTGACATAGTAATGAACTACATCACTCGTACCTCCAACAAATTAAAATTCAAGTACTTAGCAGGGGAAATTTTTAAAAAAATGAACACCTACACCACAAAGTTTTATGGTTTGTATTTCCACCTTGCTCTAAATTTCACGTCCCTTTCAGATACTTACTCCTAACAGACTTGGAGATGTTATATGAGATTTTTTTCTTCATAAAATCTGAGGTTATCAGTTTTAAAAAACACTGTAATAGATTTTAAATCTTTGGAATCAACTAGTTTAAGCCTGGGACTTTTCAGATGAAGAAACTGGGGCATAGAATATACAAGACAAATAAAAACCGTATTTTGAAAAACTGTTCATGACATAAGAAATGTTCACTACAGAGAATATGATCTTACTTCTTTATTCTGAATTTCATAAATTTTCTTAAACATATCATTTATAAATTAAAATATTCAAGATTCTTTTAATGTTTTCAGTAGAATAAACACATCAAAGAAGTTGTGAAAAAGAAATTGAGGTACCGAGAGTCATAATCCCACAACTAAATGAAACTAAGTCAAAAACCCAAGTGTTGGGGCTGGCATGTGGCATAGCAGGTAAAGCCGACACCTGCAGTGCCAGCATCACATATGGACGCTGGTTCAATTCCTGGCTGGTCCACTTCCAATCCAGGTCTCTGCTGCGGCCTAGGAAAGCAGAAGATGGCCCAAGTCCTTGGGCCTCTGCACCTGTGTGGGAGACCCAGAAGATGCTCCTGGCTCCCAGCTTCAGATCAGCCCAGCTCTGGCCATTGAGGCCATCTGGGGAGTGAACCCACAGATGGAAGACCTCTCTCTCTCTCTCTTTCTCTCTCTGGCTCTCTGTAACTCTGCCTTTCATATAATAAATCAATCAATCTTTAAAAAACCACAGACCAACAAACAAAAACCACAGGTGTCACGGCATCCAATACAGGGCTTTTTCACTATACCACATGACATCTACAGCACCAAAATGGCATTATTAAATTCAACATGAATTTCTTTGTAATTCATCACTACTGTTTTTATATCCTCAAACCCAGTCACACAATGACCTTAAACAGTGCTAACAGATTTCATTTTATAATACTATTACCAGATTACGTCACAGACATACAACTTGAGAACTGACAGCTCATGATAATCTCCTTGCCTCAAAAGAACAAGGGCATGTATTTTGCCATATTCATCTTTGGAATCCTACCACATAGTGTGGTATCTAGCATACAGGTGCTCAATAAATGTTTATTTTATAAAACATAGCTCTTTTCCCCCCTGCCAGCACTAGCTACTAAACTTAAGTAGCAGAACAAACTAAAACACTAAAATCTTATTATTTTGCATTTGGGGTATCTAAGTATTTACAGTATATAAATTTGGGATTTACTAAACAAATTTGATTTACAGCGAAATGTAAGAACGCTTATGTTACTTAAAACATTTCAATCACTACACAAATTAGCTGGTACATTCATTACAATAATTCTTATCTATTGAAGTGGGTATAAACTTTAGTCAGCACTACTTTGTTAACCTACTCAGAATCATGGAATGCACTAGAAAGCAATAAAATTACAGGTGTGGTACAAGGGGCACTTGAAGTACAACTCAGACCTGGGTCTAGGCTCTGCTAATAATCATTTACATAATGTTAGGCAATTCCCATTTCTTCTTTAAGTCTTGACTGACCTATGTGTAAAAACAGGATGGCTAAACTAATCACTGGGGATCTTTCCAGTCTTAACCTTTTTTTAACCTTTAAAGGATTATTATCCACAAAGATTCTATAATTCAGACTTTTTTCATTGTGTCAAATTTGATACTATGAATGTTATAGTTTGTTACATTATTACACAATCAAGAAGCTTAGCACATTTCCAAAAAAATATAGACTAGAAACATTCTTATCATCTTGTACTAAGAGGGCACAATAATAAAATCAAAAGAGAAACATGATATCCAACAATTATGCTTGCTTTGTCAGCTGAGCTGCCATGAACCACACTGACTTTGATACAAATCACTGATTTATAAATACAAATATGTACACAAATATATGCACATGTCATTGGCATATATTTATGTTGACATATATGTACAAACTTTAAAACTGTTTTTAATGACAAAATCAGTACTTGTTTATGATAAAAATCAAGTAGTACACCAGACCACATGTAAAGTACTAAGTCTCCACACCTTTTCTCTGTAAGTAACCACTGGTACTATTTTTCTTGTGTATCCTTCCAGAAATTACCAGAGCAAATAAAAATATATCCACGTACATGCATGAGTGTCTCAATCTTTTTAACCTAAACTGTTACCACTTCTTGAATGATGTTGGGGGGGGGGGGAGGGGAAAATCCCAAGCCCCAGCTTCGTAATCATGTGAAATACATCGAAAGTGGTAGCACAATCACTGGCACAAAGCCATATGCTCTTCAGAGATGTACGCTGAGTTGAATTTCTTTAATATTCGTGCTTAGAGGCTATCTGGGGCAACTACACAGAACGAGTGATGGGCAAAGAGCCAGACAACTTGGGTTCTACCCTAACTAGCTGGGTAGCCTGAGGCAAGCCAAGAGATCTTCCCAAGCCTTGGTTTCTGCTTTGTAAAATAACACGGCTGGGCTAAAATCCCTTCCAGCTTTAAAATGTTTTAATTCTAAGATGGCCGTCCGTAACAGTGTTCTCCTGAACTGGCTGTAACAAATGTTACTACGGAAAAAAAGAGAGGAAACACTATAGCAACCTCCAGGTTCACAAGAGTACATGTCTGAGTCAAGGCACACTTGTGACAGAACTAGCGACAATACACTTGAAGGCAAAGTAGTAGATACTTAAAATCTGATAGGTTTTTACAGATCATTGATTGATGTTTTCCTTTCTTTGCTTAATTTCAGCAATGATTACACCCTCATCCCCCAAAACAATTTAAGTGTATTAGGGAGTTAAAATAATGAAACTGAAAGCCAAAATGACATTTTGCTTTGCAGAATAGGTGACTAGGGTAGCAAAGGTTGGAAAGAATTAGCAGCTAATTTCCTCTTCCGGAAGCTCTTTGGCCCAAGTTCTGCTTCACACGCCCACTCCAGACTCACTCCACCCTGCTCTATACAAGCCCGGGGCATCAAATTGGGGAGGAGGGGTTCCCTTTGATCACAGAAACAAAAAAGTTCTTTGCCTTGATTTACCTTAGCTGTCACGGGATTTACAGACGCAGCCCCGCGGGTCTGAAGCCACCTACCCACCTACTCCTTGCTGTGGTCTCAAGAACCTGGGCCAGGAGCTCCAGCCCGGCCATCCCCGCAGGGCGGGCGCGGCCTTGCCGCCCTCCCCAGCAGTGCCTGGCCCGAGGGGAGGGGAAGAGGAGGAAAGGGGAGGGGAGGGGAGAGGAGGGGAGGGGAAGGGGGGAGGAGGAGGGGAAAGCTCGCACGAGCTGTACCCACCGCGCCAGGAGAGCCGGTCCCAACTAGCAGCGGTGAACGGCTGGGTCCCGAGGGGAGGGTCTCGGAGCAGGGGCGGCCAGAGCCCCAAGCTGGAAATGCCAACTCCGCTCTTCGGCCAGGCCCCTGCCTAGGAGAAGGAAACGGAAGTCCCTTCGTCTCCCTTACTCTCCTCCACCAGCCGGCCCATCCCCTGGAGGGACCTTGGGTCGGGAAGCCCGAAGTGGGTCCACGTCAGGCCTCAAAGAGACACCGGGAGCGGTTTGTCCGTCTCCCGGCCCAGGCCCGGCACTGGGCCCCGGCAATCTCCTTCCCACCCCCGCCGGGAGGTCAGCCTCCCGCCCTACAAAGCTCCTCCTTCTTTTCCCCCTCCGCCATTTTCGAACTTACCCCTCAGCCGGGCTTCCCTTGATTAGCGCCGCGCCCGCTCGGGGCGTCGCCAACGTCCCGCCACTTCCCGGAGCCGGAAGGGGGCAGCCAGAAAAAGCGAAGCCCTCTTCCCACCCCCAACCCCCAACCACCCCCCCCCCCCGCCCGCCCCAGCTGGAAACTAGAACCCGACCAAGCGGGAGCGCATGCGTATTGGGCACCTCGTTGTCCCCGCCCCTAGCTGAGCGTTTCTGCAGCAAGCCTTCAGGATGCATTTTTCCCACGGTTTTTACCTGCTGAACTGCAAGGGTGAGGAGTGGGGGAATAGAGGTAGAAGAAGGAAAAAGAGGAGGGAGAAGGCAGCAACATGCTGAGTTCTTACTGTGGACCAGGCACTGTTCTAGGCATATGACGTGTTCTTTGTACAGAGGAAACGGAGGCCGAAAGAAGATAACATCCCCCTGTCACGCGGCTAATAAACGAGGCAGTAGAGGTTAGAATGAGATCTTTTTCAAGGAGGGAAAGGAATAACAAGAAAGGGGAATGGTTAGGATTGGAAGGGGAAAGGAAAATATAAGAGAAAAAAAGATGGAGAGGAAACAAAGTTCTCTGCACTTGAATTTTTCCATATAGCACCATTTTATTATTGTAGTAAAATGTACATGACAAAGTTTACCATTTTGACCATTTTTAAAGTATGTAGCTCATGAGTGGCATTAAGTACATTCACATTGTTCTACAACCATCATCACCACCCATATCCAGAATTTTTCATCTTAGCCCTTCAATTTGTGCCTTTTTTTTTTTTTTTTGACAGGCAGAGTGGACAGTGAGAGAGAGAGACAGAGAGAGAAAGGTCTTCCTTTGCCGTTGGTTCACCCTCCAATGGCCGCCGCTGCAGCCGGCGCACCGCGCTGATCCGATGGCAGGAGCCAGGAGCCAGGTGCTTTTCCTGGTCTCCCATGGGGTGCAGGGCCCAAGCACCTGGGCCATCCTCCACTGCACTCCCTGGCCATAGCAGAGAGCTGGCCTGGAAGAGGGGCAACCGGGACAGAATCCGGCGCCCCAACCGGGACTAGAACCCGGTGTGCCGGCGCCACAAGGTGGAGGATTAGCCTAGTGAGCCACGGCGCCGGCCCCAATTTGTGCCTCTGTTAGAGAGCAGAGAGCTTTCTGCCATGTGGTATACCTACTATGTTATCAGCCCGTTCATGGCAAGATCACGTTTTGCCATGTCAAACATGTTTGTTACTCCTGCAAAACCCTTGCAGTCATCTGTCATATCGGTCCAATCCATCCGCACATCCTGTCATCTCTGTCTTCAAAGTACAAATATCTAATTCTCATCAATTCTACCAGTGCTGCCCTACTGTCTCTTTCTTGGACAGTAATATCCTCCCCAGTGGTCTCCAACTTACATCCTTGCCCTCCTCTAGTCTATTCACACAGCAGCCAGAATTATCCTCATAAAACATAAGTCAATAATCCAAAAGATGGACTTAGGAAAATTATATTTATTGAATAAAAGCTTTGTATAAACAAAAAAGACAAATCACTGTCACTTCTCTGTGCAGATGCCTTCATTCTCTCCCCATTTCACTCAAAGTAAAAGCCACACTTTATAATGTTCTGCAAAGGCTATGGTACCCAGCCACCAAGACAACCCCCAGTGGTCTTCACTTCTTGCCATTCACACCCTTGGGCAGTTCTTCACCAAATTGGGGCTGACTTAGGCAACCAATAACACATGGTACAAGGGATGGTGAGTGACTTACACTGCTAGGTCATGAAATGCATTTTGGTTTCTGCCTTGCTGTCTTTTGGATTGGTTGCCCTAAGAGTAGCCAGCCATTATGTCACAGGGAAGGCTCAGACAGCAGGTTGGAGAGCCCCACGAGGAAAGAAACTGAGTCCTTCCTTCCCTCTTTCCATCTCTTCCTCTCCCACCAACAGCCAGCACTAACTCACCAGCTATACAGGTGAGCCACCTTAGAAGAGGATCTTAGAGACCCAGAGCTAGAAGCACCTATCCGAGCCACTCAAATTCCTGTGTATTGTTTTCATTAGCTAAGTTACAGGGCAGTCTGTTACACAGTGGTAGATAACTGATATAGAGGCCCTGCACAGGGTAGAGTCCTGTCACCTTATGTCCTTACCTCCTATTACTTTCCCCCTTGTTCTTTTAGCTTTCCTGCCTTAGGGCCTTTGCACTTGCTCTTCATTCTGTATAGAACATTTTCTCTAGATGTCTTAATGGCCTGTCCGGCATCTCTTTCAAGTCTTAGCTGTCACCTTCTCCAAAAGGCCTACAGTGATCGCTGTATTAAAAAATGGCAACTCCTTTTCCCCCTTTCTCTCCCTTCCCCTGTGTTTGCTTCATTCCACAGCATCTATCACTTTCTAGAATACTCTATGGTTCTCTTATTTATTTACTTAGCATATTGTCTCCTGCCTCCCACCTCTGCTAGAAAATGGGCTCTGAGAGCCTGAGGATGTTTTTTTCTTGTTCACTGATGTATTCCAATTACTCAGAACAGTGTCTGACATAGTGTACGTGTTCAGAAAATATTTGCTGAATGAGTGAATAAACATTTCATGGACATGCCAGACCCTTGGTAAATACTTGGGTGAATTATTAACTAGGAGATACTGGTAGCAAAGGCCAGTGTACATGGCGTCTGGTGTCTAGGTTTCATATGAAGAGACATATATAAGTGTGAAGTTATAAAATCATGATCTGGGGCCAGTGTTGTGGCACAGCAAGTTACGCTGCCGCCAGGGACCCCAGCATCACATATGGCTGCCAGTTCGAGTCCCAGCTGCTCCACTTCCAATCTAGCTCCCTGGTAATGCTCCTGGGAAAGCAGCAGATGATGGTCCAAGTACTTGGGTCTGTGCTAACCATGTGGGACACCTGGATGGACTTCTAGGCTCTGGCTTCAGCCCAACCCCAGTCGTCGGTGGTCATTTGGGACATGAACCAGTGGGTGGAAGATCTCCCTTTAACCCTCCCCCTCCTTCTCCCTCTGTCTGTCACTGTGCCTTTCAAATAAATAAAACAAAATTTTTTTAAAAAATAAAAAGAAAGCTATGATTTATGGAGACCCTACCATTACCTATACAAGGATGTTTTGCTGTAATTATTTTTGCCTGAAAAGAAGAAACATTTAGAAAGGAAAGAATGAAGAAATACTAGCTTGGGGCCGGTGTTGCAGCATAGCTGGTAAAGCCGCCACCTGTGACACTGGCATCCCAGATAGGTGCCCGTTTGAGACCTGGCTGTTCTACTTCTGACCCAGCTCCCTGCTGATGCACCTGGGAAAGCAGTGAAAGATGGCCCAGGTGCTTGGGCCACTGTGCCCACATGGCTGCATAAGAAGTTCCTGGCTCCTGGCTTCTGCCTGGTCCAGCCCTGGCTGTTGTGGCCATTTGGGGAGTGAACCAAAAAATGTAAAATCTCTCTCTCTCTCTCAACTCTGCCTTTCAAATAAACAAATAAATCTAACAAAATTAGCTTGAACCATATGCAATTGTCTAGGTTTCACCATTGCCAAGTATTATAAACAGCAATTTAATATGGTCTCACATAATAGGAGAAAGAAAAACTGATACACTAAGGCTCAGAGGAAATGAGAAATCAATGGGATCAAGCATGAATAGAGGCATTAGTCTTGAACAATAAAAGGACACATCCTCAGAGACATGGGACATGAGATATATATAGGTAACCACAGGGGGATTTTGAGGGTGGTCACCTTACCTCAATGTATGCTGATGGTATGGAAAGGGAAGTGTGTGGAAGGCAACAGCAAAAGTTTAACACTAGAACCCTTTTTGCAAAGGCAGACTATACATTAAAGGCCAAATAAATATAGTAGATAAAAAGTAGAGCTGCTTCAAGTGAAGGGGCACCAGGTGAGCCCTGCCTTCCAGGCCTTGCCCTCAGTGCCCTTGGCTTTGTGTACCTTCCGCTGGCAAGAAGGGGTGCACACCTGCAAAGGATTACTCTTAACTCATCAGTCAGACAACAACCTTTGTGAAGACCGGTCATGTGGAACAGCGTCCATCAGCAGCGTCTGCCTGAATGCTGCTCAGGTGTCTTGCTCGCTAAGCCTCGCACTCCCTCCTTGCTCCCAGAAAGACTGCAACTGTAATTTCCTCTCTTAGAGCAGTCTGAAAGATGCCTGCACTTATCTTGCTTGTGCTGGCCGAGCTAGCATCTCCAGCCAGTCCTCCATTTCCTTTCTCGGCCTTTATCTCTGAGGGGACCCGGTCAAACAAGAGACTTCTTGCCGGTTTCGGGTGGGGAAGAAGAGCACATTCTCATCTCAAGCTAATGGAAAATTCCACCTGAACTTTCTGTATACTAATCTATTTTTTTTTTTTTTGGACAGGCAGAGTTAGACATGAGAGACAGAGAGAGAGAGAGAGAGAGAGAGAGAGAGAGAGAGAGAGAAAGGTCTTCGTTTTCCATTGGTTCACCCCCCAAGTGGCCACTATGGCCTGCACGTTGCGGCTGGCACGCTGCACTGATCTGAAGCCAGGAGCCAGGTGCTCCCTCCTGGTCTCCCATGTGGGTGCAGGGCCCAAGCACTTGGGCCATCCTCCACTGCCCTCCCGGGCCACAGCAGAGAGCTGGACTGGAAGAGGAGCAGCCGGGACAGAATCTGGCGCCCCAACCGGGACTAGAACCCGGGGTGCCAGTGCGGCAGCCATTATAGGGTGAACCAACGGCAAAGGAAGACCTTTCTCTCTGTCTCTCTCTCTCACTGTCCACTCTGCCTGTCAAAAAAAAAAATCTGAAAATTCAACAAGTCAAGGTCAAAGTATCATCACTCTGTGTCTGGAGCAGGGGGTAGGTGAGGTGAAAGCTACGGAGTCGAGGTCCCAGAGAGGCTGGCATGTTGGGGGGATCTTTAACCCATGATGGAGTGGGATTTGTGTTTAGAAAGTCTATGAAGCTGACACCAAAGACCTGAATGGATGGGA